TGTGATAGCTTCTGAGCATGGCAACCCTAAAGCGAGACAGGAGGACCAGCGAGGGCTCATAAAGAAAGCTGGTTTCTTCTCTCGTCTACACAGGCAGCTAGAGACAGACTCTCCCAGGATTATGTCTAGGTCCCAGGACTCGGTCTAGGTCAGAGCTATCAGAGAAAAAGCAAGAGAATTCAGATCACCCAATACTTAGTTAGAACCACAGTGGTCCCCGGAGCCTGTGAGGTTCTGTATCGTTTCAGGCTGATCCGCTGTTATTCAACATAGATGCAGAAGAGGACATAAGGAGGCGCTAAGGGCCAGTTAGTTCTGTCTGCTGTGGACAGTAACACTGCCACATGCCTTTGAATCCCTCTACCCCAAGCGGGGTCACTTCAGGGCCTTAACATTTAATCCATTTTATTTGCTGGCCTGCAAGACTCTGCGAGATCATCTTGGCTCTCAGGGGAAATAATCGCAGAGGAAAAGCCCCTGCTGTGAAACGGTGCATGGACCTCAGAGCACTGCATCTCTGCCTGCGGGCCTCCTGGGAGAACCTATTTAAGTGATCGCCCCCTCTGGGGCCCCAGGTTCCATCAGACAGAAATGAAGGAGGTTGGACTCGATGTCCTATGAAGCCCCTGCCTGCTTTGACACTGTACATCATTCAGCAAACACATTCTACCCTCCTGTCTCCAGACATCGGAGGGCGGGGAGGCCACCTGGGAACCTGTGGGAACTCCTACCTGTAGAATCTCCCTCCTGTCCCCACTCCACCAGACATGAGAGCAGGGGCTCTCTGGAAAAACAAGATTCGTATACAAACTCTCTGCTTCCAGACTCAAGACATCCATGGAAGATGAGAAAGACTGGGCAGCTATACAAAACACAGAGGCCACGGTGAGGTGCAGTGAGTTATTCAGGGCCGCCTTCACCTCCAGGTGCCTTTTTATAAAGCCACAAAAGACATCCTGGATGCCACCTCTGAATAAGAGTCGGGAAGGTAGACAAGGTACAATTAGCAAGCTCGATGGTTATCTTTTAAATAGGTCTTTGCTTTCCCATCCCTCGCTCCATTATCTGTTATCTGTCACCAGAGCTGACACACAAAAAGCTGCCTGCGAGAAGAAGCTAGAACTCAAACAAAACGCCTTAAGTCGGGGCTTCGGCTTGACTAGACCGTTCCTACACACGCTTCCAAACTCCTAGGACCCTGGGATAACATGATCAGAAAAGCCACAACAAAACATCTATTTCCCAGTTCACAAATGATGCCAGCAGCCCTACTTGAGCAGCCGATGGAGGCCGAGTCTGGGATTTTAGTGGTAAAGATGGATCAATAATGTCTGCCCTGGCCATGGTGGGGGGGGGGGGCACCCTAGGTGGGGAAACACCATGATGAAAGATATTTGCCTCTCTCCTCTCTGAATAAACACACATGTCACAGGTGAGAACTACAAGGGCCAGAGAAGTTAAACCAGAGAAGAACGAAAGTCAGACCTCTGCCAGGCTTTCCTCTACAGACAGTGGGCCCAGGAGGAAGAGGAGCAGGCGGAGGCAGATTTGCTCTGGTAAGTCAAGAACCCTTCCCTGGTGGCATCGGATTGCATCTGGGCAGGCTGACAGAGAAGTGATTAGCAGTCTCAGGGATACCAACCCCTCCTTGGAAAAGTAAAGAAACCGCTCCAGACCGCATTTCCGTGGTATTTAACTTGCTGACGGGGAAGGTTCTGCTACCAGGAAGACTGAAAGGGGGGAAGGTATTGATTCCGGGTGTCCCAAGAACAAAGTTCAGCTCTGACACAATGAATAAAATCCTGAGACCTGAAAATCATATTCATATTCACTGGTATTCCACGATCCCACCCATTTCTGCCATGACTTAGGGAAGCCATTTCTCACTAGAGAGCCTGGCACAAAAGTGGGGAGGAGCTGCACCCGGATTCCTACTGTGGGATTTTAAAAACCAGTCCCCAAGCCTGCAAGATGAAACCAGTGCTAGAATTAAACCAAGATGTCAGGCTGACTAGGGAGTGGGAACGAGAAGGATCCCCCGGTTAAAACAAGAATGGCCTCGAGGCCAGCTTTCCTGACTGAATCTCGCAACTTTAGGGAAAGCCAGATGTGTGACCAGCTAGACTCTGAGCCTGTGCTGTGTGCCTTATGAACCCAATGTCCTGCTTGGCCGCTCCAGAGGCTTCGGGATGAGGCATCAGGTCAAAGCATCAGAGGACTACTCAAACCGAGGTAAGGAACCTCATAGAAAAGCTACTAGACTATCTCACGGGGATAAAATCCCAACAGTTGTTTTTCTAGAGCAAGGGCTCAGGTAGCCCAGGGTGGCCTTGAACTCGAGCATCCTGCTGTCACCTCCTAATATCTGGAATTACAGATGCGCACTACCAGGCAAGTTTATATGGTGCTGAGGATTGGTCACGAGCAAGTACTATATCAACCCAGCTACATTTCAGTCTAGAAAGATCACAGTCACGCTTGGGGATGGCCCGCAACAGTGACAGAGTGACAGCTGCTTAGCACCGTCCCAACAATACTGGGTGCTGAAGACTGTTTCCCGGCTAGTCACTTGACAGACTCCCTGAAGGCTCCAGACACGGAGGGGTGGGAGAAGCCAGCCTCTTTCCTAGAGGCCAAGTGACATTCAGAAGAGGGGCTGGAGGGCTCTGCATCTGCAGGAGAACGGAGCACAAAGAGGCTGTGTGGAAAACTGGCAGAGTGTTCTAGAAATGCAGCCCATGAATGCTGAATCCCGCCGCACCTACCAGGGCCCATCCTTGGGAAACAGCTCCTATCTGCGACTCCCAAGAAGCAAGGATAATCACACAGCAGCCCTCCCAAACCTCTTCAACGTCTTCCCCTTCTATGCCATATTCCAAGAGGCAGACAAAAAGACTGGAGAGCCGAGAGGTCCAGGCAGTGCCTCTAAGAGGCACTCGGTAGCTGCTCCCCTCTCTCTCTCTCTCTCTCTCTCTCTCTCTCTCTCTCTCTCTCTGCCCAAAAGGTGGCCTTACTCCATCAATACCCTTTTGCACAGTGAGTAATTTACCATGAAAGCTAAGGCCAAACTGGCAGTTAACCTTGACCTCCCCGTTACACATCTGGTTCTATAGAAAATGAAAATTAGGATGTCTTTGGCCTCCATAGCAAGTGAATTATGAGGGCTCTCTCCAGGCAGAGGCAGAATGTCAAGAGCTATTTCGGACCTGGTCACAGCTATTCCACAAGAGAGTCTGCACCTGGTTAGACATGCCCCGCCCCCCCATCCCCAGCCAAGGCTGTGTCCAGAAGAGCATCCCAAAGTAGGAATAGTAGGAATGCTGTAAGGGGCCTCAGGAAAGGAAAAAGGAGTGGTCTGTCCCACTCCTCATGGGTACAGACAGCATCACAGAATGTTGGCATCAAATCATACACATGGAGCAAGCAAGGCTCAGCGAGGGAGACCAGACTCATCATCACACAGAAAGCTAACAGTTGAGCTAAGAACATGAGTCTGGCCTCCTGCCACTGATGCCACATGGGGCAGTAACAGAGGAAAGAGATTTCCCACAGGAAAGCCCCACTCAGACAAAGAGCTTAAGGAAGAGAAGTCAGAGTTTGCCAAACAGTAAGGTCTACCAGATAGCTAGATCACCCAGACTTTGGGACGATTCACAAACTACCAGAGCGACCGAGCCAGGTTCAAATCGATCTGCTCTGTAGCAAAGAGTCCTCCGTGCCCCCAGAAGTCAGAATGCCCAGATGGCAGCCTAACACTAGAAGGGAAGGGGGTTAAAGCATGGGTCTCAAAAAGTCAGCCTCCTCCCCTGAAGCCAGTCAGCAGTCAGTCAAGGCTGACCCTGACCCACAACTTCAGGCAACTCTGATACGTCCCACGAGAGGAGACAGCTCAAACATGCCCGCCCTTGCCAGGAGCTGGGGTAGAAAAGCTGGGATGGTCAGAGGAAAATGATAGCGCTTATCTATGCCAGGAGGCTGCCAGTCCACATCCACGCACATACGTGTGCACATACAAACACACACGCACAACTGTGAAGAGGCAGACCATCCCAATTTTGTCTACAATAATCACATCTCAGTACAAAGAAGGAAGGCTGGAGGTGTTCTGTGCTGGAGGCACTGGGTACCTGTAGCTCTGTGACATTTGGAGAGCTCTCTACCAGGGCATCTCTGTGACTTCTGGGCTCCCCCAAGGACCAAAGGCGACAAATTCCAGGACAGGCACTCCCTACCGGACCCCCTCTGAGGCAAGGGCTCAGTATTCTCGAGAGGCACAGAATCTGATTCAAATAGAGGCAGGGCGCAGTGTGTGTTGCAGGGAGATGGCTCGCACTAGCTGGTCTTACAGAGGATGCAGGTTAGATTCCCAGCACTCACATGGTGATTCAAAGCTATCCGTAACTCCGGTTTCAGAGGGTCCTATGCCTTCTTCTGGTCTTAGTGGGCACCAGGCACACCTACGGTGCACACATACATGTAGGCAAGACACACATATGCATTAAATAAGCAACAAACAAAAACAGAGGCTCCAGGTGGGAGACCTAGAGGAGATCCAGGCATCCCTGTGTAGACGTCAAACCAGGAAAGGTCTGGTATCACTAGAAATAGCCGGTGAGGATGAGGGCTAGGGGCAGAGACAATTTGAAGAACACAGACAAGAACAGCCAATATCTCCATTCCTACCGACAGAAGGAACAATCCTGGGTGGCACGGAGATTCAGGCAGGATCCTCTAAGGAAAGAGTTGAAGAGGCCAGGAATAATAGACGGCAAAATGAGGAGCGGGGTCAGCTAGGAAAAGGGTCCAGGGCTGAACACTGTTTTAGGCTGGAGTAGGAGCCTGGATAAGTCTTTCACCTTCCCAGAGCCTCGATGTTCCCATCCCCAAAATGGGAAGCTCTGCTTCGGGGCAGACTCGCAGGGCAGGTGAAGCAAGGAACCGCAGGCTGGGAGCGAAATCGGAGAGAGGGTGCTCCCCACCCACGACCGCGGACCACTCACCTGTACCACCGCGGGGGCCACTGCCACTCCTGATCCCCCAGGGCTACCGTCGGGCTGCCGCTCGCGGTACAGAGCCCAGAGCCCCACGTTGGGCAGGAGGACCAGGGCCGCCAGAGCCAGCGCCACCGCCTGCAGGAGCCGCTTCTCTTTGCGCCTCATCGGGGCCGGTCAGCCCCGCCGCGCCCCGCCGCGCCCGCTCCGGCTTTGCGCGTCCGCCTGCCCGCCCGCCCGGCGGCGGCAGCAGTTCGGCCAGCAGAAGCGGCCGCGGCGCCGGCCCCGCTCCAACTCCGCGGCACTTCCGCCGCTCGCCGGCGGGGGAGCCGGGCGCCTCCACCATGTCGCCGCCGCAGGGGTGCGCCCCAACCTCTCCATCCCCGGCAGCTCATCCCAAGTCCTGCACACCTCGTCTCCTGCCAAGGAATGCACGGTTGAGCCCTATACTCCTCAGTAATTCAATCCTCCACATACTTATAGAGTATCTCAGCCCTTTGGGGTGCAGGGAGGCCTGGCTTCATTACGCTTCCCCCCCGCGGGCCTCGATGGTGCGTCCCGCTTCTCCGCGGCTCCCCGCCCGCCGCTGCTTTGCCAAAGTCCGGGAGTTGGGGAGTTGGGCGCTCGCTGGGGGCCGCTGGGCGTGTGATGGGGACGCCCCAAAGACCCGTGCTGCTCTCCGCAGCCCGCGACAGCCCCGGGACTGCGCGGACACAATGCAACCTACCACGCTGGGATGCTGCAGGGTACTCTCTTCCCGGCTCTGCCCCAGGACGTGCAGACCAGACCCGTCTTTGACCTGGAGACTCCGCGCAACCTGTGTGCAGAGGGCACCGTGAGCATCGCTTAGCGTTGTGCCTGGTTTCCTTCCTCCTTTTCTGCAAGCTGTGCAGCGCTGGGTGCCCCGTCACCAGTCTGGGCTCTTTGCAAAATCTACAAGGAGACAAGAGTCTCCTTGCGAGAGCTATTCTCATGTACATCCAGCCCGGTGGACTTGGACTGCCTTCTAGTCTCAAGTGTGCTTCTGAACACAGTACCCAAAGCCCTTCCCAAAACCTCATGTCGTTTCTTTTTTTCCTATTCAAACCACCAGCTAGCACCCACGATGGGCCAGGAGTGAGGAGTAAGGAAAAGCAGAGCCCGCACTGGTTCCTGGGGGCTGCAGCGCCGAATGGGTGCCCAGGACGAGGCTGTGCATGCCAGAACCATGGCGACATGCCCAAAGAAGTCAGGCTTCTGAGCCACGGACCTGGACTCACACGAAGCCTGTGGGATCCTCCACCAGTCGTTTTTAACACCTTGCTCCCCGATGCCCAAGCACAGTCCCCTGCTCTCTGCCTTTCTCTCTGCCAACCTTCTTGCGGGCACGTGCACTCGCTTGATCCTCTGCTTCTCCAGCGAACTGAGTCCTAACCTGGGACCAGTGTCCTCAATTCTAGCCTTTCACCTCTAGGCTGAGTAGTGATTTTTCTGACGTCACAGCGTGGGTCCACTCATTGCAGAGTCCACAGTTGTAAGTTATATATCCCTAAGGTCAGATATCTCCGCCTTTGGTTGACTCTGCTTCCTTTGTGTCAGTTGCTAGCTCTGTGTGTTCCTCCAAGTGCTCTTGACCACACAGATCCTTGTACCTCCCCCCCCCCAAAATTTGTTTATGTCAGGGACACCCCTTTGTATAGGGAAATCACCACCTCTTCCCCCAAGTTTTCCCAAATGCAGCCTCCTTGCTGTTCATCAGAACATGGCGGGCAATCCTACATCAGGACCTTGGTCCTATCCCCATACCTAGGTGTATCCTCTGACCATTCTTCCGATTTTATCCCCTCCCTTTACGACGTTTAAGAAATAATTGACAGGGACTGACGGATGGCTCAGTCGGTGGTTAAGAGGAGTTGTTGCTCTCCTAGGGGACATGGGTTCAGTTCCCAAAACGCAGATTTGGCTCCTGGCACCCACATCACACAGCTTGGGGACAATTGCCTGTCACTCTAGTTCCAGGGCATAGCCTGTGTTGAGTACCTAAATACATGTGGTGTACCACACATACATTTAAGCACACATACTCATAAATAATAAATAAGTCTTTAAAAATAACTTGTAGTCTGCTACAATATACATGGACAACTTTACCATTTTAACCACTAAAGACATGTTTGTTACATTTCTTGTAACAAAAAGATGAGAGATGCTTCTAAAACTCAGGAGGTAAATGAGTCTTACAAGACTCAGGAAGTTTGGAAAGTTACAAGCTGTCCAGGTTCCTTCCCAAGGTTACATAAACTGTATAATGCTGACGAAAGAGGATCCCCGGGATCAACCATGCCACCTTTGGGTTGTGCTCCAGGATGCATGAGTTGTCCCCCACACCAGTGTGGGCTTTTCAGTGATGCCCCGGCAAACAGTCCACTGATTCCTAAGCCGGACTTGGGTGGAATCATTTCTCTGGTATGTTGTCAATGTCCTGCCTGTGACCGACATTTGCTCGTGTCTCCCCAGGAAAAGTCATGCTCACATTTATCCAGTTGTCTGTTGAGGGACATCTGGGCTGTTCCCATCACTCCCCAGGAGTGAGTCATGCTGAACCCGGTGTCTGGTGCAGCCGTGAGTGTGCAGCATTGGTGTGGTTAGGCAGCGCTGTTTCCACCCCTGAGCATGGCATAGCTAGCAGCAGCTCTATGGATCCTGCTACAAACATCGTGGCTTCCCTTCACCTTAGCATAAGCCATGAAAGGGCTGAGGATATGGCTAAGGCAGCAAAGCGCTTGCCTCACAAGCGTGAGTACCTGAGTTCTAATCCCCAGAACCCAAATAAGAAGCTAGGATTACAATAGCTCATGCTTATAATCCCAGTGACAGGGAAATGGGAGGTGGGGACGCGTGGATCCCTAGAAGCCCTCTGCCATAAAGCAAAAAAATAAAAATAAAAGAAAGAAAGAGAGAGAGAGAGAGAAAGAAAGAAAGAAAGAAAGAAAGGGGGAAGACATTTGTGAAATGACACTAAAGTTGCCCTCTGACCCCTACATGCATGTGTATGTGTACACACACACACAAGCACACACGGTGCGCTCACACACACACTAAGCTGTGAGACTCCTTAGTTACCCTGATTTTTAATACCTTATATACACACCTGACAGCCTCACCTCAGGGTCTATCAACATAGTTTTGTCAATTTGATACAGCCTACAGCCATCTGACAGGGGACTCTGAAAAACTGCTTAGATAAGATTAGAGGGTGGGCGAGTCTGGGAGGGATTATTTGGATTATTAATTGATATAGAAGGGCTCAGCCTACAGTGGGCAGTCCCTAGGCAGGAGGTCTTGAGTTGTATAAGAAAGCTAGAGGAACATGAGCCTGGGGGGGGGGGGTGAGGTAGAGAGTGAGCAAGAGCCCTTTTCCATGATTCCTCTCTCGAGGCTCTACACTGATTTCCTCTAGTGACAGACTGTAACCTGGAGGTATAAGCCAAACATCCCCCCTCTGCCCGAGTTGCTTTCGGTCAGAGTGTTCTATTATAACACCAGAAGAGAAACCAGATCTGGGTCTTTGCAAATTTCTAGAACTCTCTTCCTCCCAACATTTTGTTGGGTTCCCTTCTTTCTCTTAGGAACCAGACCAGAGGTCCTACCTCTTGAGATGGCTTCCCTAGCCTCCATCTCAGCAATCTCCTCATCTTCATCTGCTTGTCTTTCCTAGGGAGCAGGTCTAAGACTGGGCCTCCCTGCCAAGAACACAAGTCCTGAGCATTTAGAAAAGCAACGTCTCCTTGTCTCCTACGAGCACCTCCATCTCGGCCAACACATAACACCTGCCTTTACTGCTAACCAGAAACCCAGGGTCTCTTCCTGCAGAGGAACGTGTGACAAGCACCCAAGGACTTCAGTTCACTGTCCCCTGCATCTTGTGAAGCTGAGGACCCAACTGGATGTTCTACTCAGTAATTCCTGGCTGGGCGAAGCGTGCCGCTAATGTCACCAGGGAAGGAATGCATTCAGTGTCTTTCTCCTCCCCCTCTTCTTCCAGTTCCCTAGAGCATCCCACAGGAAATTGGATTTGATCACTTGTTGATCAAAGCTCTCGGCAGCTCAATCTGCCCTTCCCAAAGGGGACTCCAGTCGGAAAAGCCAGCTTTAATCCGAAGTCTCTTTGATCACTTTCCACCATCCTGTCGGATGGACCCGACAGGAGGAGGGCTCCTGGGAGTTTATTCTACTCGCCGAGAAAATGCCACTTCCCTGGAAAACTGAGCTAGCCACGAACTGAAACTCACAGGAGCCGTCACTTCCAGACCAAGCCATGCCACTAAGCCTGGAGTAGCCGTGACATGAGATAGTGCACACCACCACTTACCGCAGACCCTGTCCAATATGAGCATAGTCAGTGGGGTGGAAAGAAGGCTGAGCACTAACAGGAACATGGAGGCGATAGAAGCAGGTGGGTCAGCTGCAGGGCAAGTCGCACTGCTCTGCCCGCCCCGCCCCCCACCTTGTTTTCCTCCTTGCCTGGAACTTGCTACAGGTACCGTCTTCCTGCTCCTCCTTTTCTGGCCCTGAGACCCTGCCTTTGCTGTTTTTCTGCCAGCTGCTTGCCAGATCTCCCCATGGGGCCAGCCGGCACTCAACCTCCAGGTCCCTTCTAGAACATGACTTCCCACGTGGATCCTTTCGAAAATGCTCTTTTCCGCTCTCGACCTCACTGTAGTTTCTCCACAGTCCACGGCCCTCTTTGCCACAGGCTCAGGCACCTGCTAATCTCCTCCTTCACCGTAGGAGGATCTAAAGAGAGCATTCTTTAAGAGCCTTGGGGCAGGCCTCTTGCCCTCTCACACCCTGCCACATCCGCCCACAGAGAAGGGCAGATCCTGACTTCGAAAGGGAGATGAGGGGCTCGTCTACACCTTCCTATTTTCACTTCTTTTTTAACGAGCAGTTTGTTTCATGGCTGGTTCTTCGGTGTTCTACCATCAGTAGCAGGAACGCTCAGGGAAGAGGGTGACAGGTGCAAGCCTTCAGCACGCAGCCCCGGCTGAGTGTCCTCACCTTGCCTTCAGAAGCCCTGCTGCAGAACCGGGCTGGTGCAGCCAAGCTCTAAGCAGAGGGACATGAAGTCCTTGAGGTGAGGTGAGGTCAGTCTTTTTCCAGCACTCTTTAATCTTGTCATGTCCTTAAGCAGATTCAAGCTCCCTTTTCTTCCTCAGCCGGGCTTGGTCCGTGTTTAGGAGCACTTGGGAGGTGGTGGTAGGACAATTTGAAGTTCAAGGCCAACCTGGACTAAACAGGGAGGGCAGACTACGTAAGATTCCAAACCCCCCCCAAAACAAAACAAAACAAAACAAAAAACAACCAGTCGGAACCAGCCCGTAACTGGATAACTAACTCAGCAGTTCAAGGCATTTACTGCTCTAATAGAGGATTCGGTTCCCAGCACCCATATGGCAACACACAACATCAGGAATTCCAGTTCCAGGGGATCTGACTCCCTCTTCTGACTTCTGAGGACACCAGCTGCCTACACAGTGTGCAAACACACACACAAGCAAAGCACTCTGTCCTAGTCTGTTTCTCTGTTGCTGTAATAGGACGAACCAAAAGCAGCTCGGAAAGGAAACCGTGTGTTAGACTTACAGGTTACAGTCCATCACCAATGGAAGCCAAGCCAGGAACCTAGAGGCAGGAACTGAAGCAGAGATCATGGAGGAAGACTGCTCACTGGCTTGCTGTCCAGTTTTCTCAGCTTGCTTTATTATATTACCCAAGACCAAATTCCCTAGGAAACTAGAGTTACAGACAAATATGAGGTGCTTCGTGTGTGCTGGAAACTCATCCCAGGGTTCTCTGCAAGAACAGGCAGTGCTCTTAATTGCCAAGCCATATCTCCAGTCCCTAATTATTTTTCCCTTTGTACAAAGGAAGAAAGGGAAAATGGAAGATGGGTAGTGGGATGTGGGGCAGAGGGGTCTCTCTAGGCATCCGAGTCTCCCTGGAGAGTGGATCTGCTTAGTCAGTGCCTCTGCCATATGAGGGGCTTGAACAAGCTGAATCTATTGGCCATTCAGTAGGCTCACCGTGCTCAGCCCTGCACACAAGTCAGGCTCTCTAAAGCCCTGATAAAGCCATCCTCGGGCTACTGCTCTCTTTCTATAGCAAATTAAAGCCTAGGCAACTCTGTGGGGCTTTTGTTGTTCTTATTTGTTTTTGTTTGTTTGTTGTCTATGCAGGTCATCTGACATTCTACTAGACACCTGCCAGCAAACTTCAGGGAGTCCAGGTTGGTCAGCTTGGATCTAACCGTGATGAATGAGCCCTGAAATAGGGCTAGGCATCTCTCATGTTAATTTACTGGTCAATAATTTGATGGATAAACTGGCTGTAGTTGTGTGTGCAGGTACTTGGGAGGTGAAGAGGGGAGGATCAGGAGTTCAAGGTCATCTTAGTAAGTTCCAGGCCAGCCTGGGCTACAAGTGACCAGGTCTTTATAAACAAACAAACAACAACAAAAAAAAGCAACAAAACAAAACACAAAGAATATGACCAGCTTGTAAGAGCCAGAGCCACAGAAAGTTAAATTTCATGATTGGGAAACTGAGGATCACAGGAAGAGCAGTTCCACTCCTTTCTACTGCTACAGTCTGGGCGCTTCCTCCCAGTCCATTCTCCAGGAAGTGCTCCGGGTGTTGCGTCACTGCAGTCCAGGATCTGGGTCTTCCTGTTCTGTTGAGCAAAATCCGCCAGTTTCCTGACATCCACGAGTCCTCTCCCAGCTCAGAGGCTGGGTCAGAAGTGACCCCACCCTCAACTGCTATATTAGCCAGCTACAACATTCTTCTTACAGTGATTGGTCCCGGGATGAGCACCGGCCTCCTGGAAGGACCATCTAAACTGTGAGGTTCAAGTCTGTGGAGGAAAAAAAATGACTCTTGCGCTCTGACTGTATCGAGTGTTGGCTATGAGCCCACTGAGAGGCGTGGACTGGATTGGATCCAGCTCAGCTCCAGCGCAGCCTCTCAGTGCTCCTAGAGGAGGAGAGATACATCTTTAGAAGTCACAGGTGGAAAAAAAAAAAGGAAGTCATGGGTGGTAGCACCCACCTGTAATTTCCGGGCTTTGGAGGCAGAGGAGGGGGATTGCTTTGAATTTGAGGCTATCCTCTGCTATAGACCAGACAGAACTTGGTGGGGCATGGAGAGGGAGATAGAGTCGTATAACTGTTTGCTCTGAATGGACTTGACCCAGAGTAGCCAGGGAGAGGATTCAGAGGGAGAGAGAAAGAATGGTGCCGGGATGTCTCAAACAGCTCTCTTCCAGTCAAGGTCCTCCCTTTAAGTAGTCACAGCTAAAGTCACCCTGTCTCCCTTTCTAGGCTCTGGTTCCAGTTCCTCCTCTCCCCTTCAGGCTCACTGACTTCTCCCTGTCTGTACACCACAGCACCCATAGTTGATTGAACCGGAACTAATCCTCAGAGCAGAGTGACAAATTGATTTCTTCGTCTTCTGAGCAACCAAATGAACGGGCTAATACCAGAGGAGAAGACCTCGGGTCATTCATTCTCCGGTTCATCAAACTAAAGCTGTGGACGAGCCCGTGACCTAGGCATCAGGACCCAAAGATAAATGGTGTGATGCGTTTGATTGGAGGAAAGTAAAGGTTGCTGAGAGCTCTGAGGAAGGAACCTTTGATCCTGTTAAGAGCCAGTGGAAGAGGTCACAGAGTTGGTGATGCTTGGGTGAGTCCTGAAAGATGCTTGGGAATTTTCTGGAAAGATATAGAAGGGGCTGGGAGTTTCTTGAAAATAAGCAAAGTACAAAGGCAAGCAATCTTGAAGGCACGGCGACCTTATGGAGGGGTGCAGAGTTCTCCAGGAAACCCTAAACAAAATGCCCTGTGGCAAGCGGAACAGCCCGAAGGCGCAGATGCTTCGCCCTCCACAGGGCCTGCCACTGTGTTTGGCCCCAGGCATCATGAGAGCACCACAGCAGGCTCACGGGTTATGGGATGGAGTGGTTCAAGGAAACAGTGTATTACTGAGAGAATGAAGAGTGGGTGGCAGGGAACACAAACAGAAAACAGGGGAGCAAGAAGCTGGGGCAGAGAAAGGGACTCAGAGGCAGCTGAGAAAGGGATGTTCTCTGAGTAGGGTAGGAAGAGGAGCTGCTCGGGCCCAAGCCACCTCAAAACTGAGTTTTCTAAACAATGTGCATGTGTATGTTTGCACATGTGATAGGGACTGGCTGTGTAGCCCAGGCCAGCCTAGAATTCAAAATCGTCCTGCCTCAGCATCCTGAATGCTAGGATTAAAAGTATGTATCACCACACACAGATGCATGTGTGTTTGTATGTCTGTCTATGTTAGCTTAAGCTTGCCTTGAACTCATGGAGATGATGGCCATGAAGTAAGTGTGTACACTCGTGTGTGTGTGGGGGGGAGTGTTTATGGTGCAATGATGTATGTGTGTGGGTGAACATCCCCATCCACCTTCCTCTCTTGAGACAGGGTATCTCACTGACCTTGAATCTAGGCTGGCAGCCAGCAAGCCCCAGCAATTTTCCTCTCTCTGTACCCAGCCTTTTACATGGGCACTGGGGATTTGAACTCGGGTCTTCATTCTTTCAAAACAAGAGCTTACCTCCTGAGTCACCCCCAACCCCACCCTCACTCCTAGCCCTGACTTTGATCTTCTGACCTTCCTGCCACTGTGCCCTGAGTATAGCGCTGGGGATTGAATCTAGGATTTAGTACACACCGGGCCATCACTCTATACCAACTGAACCATGTCTCCAGCCCCCCCCATGTATATTTAACATTCTTATTTTAGTAATCTGACATGTGCATATGGTTTAAAATTAAGTCACTTGGTTATAATAAAAGGCACTCCTCCGTACAGCCTGGTCCCTGGAAGCCACTTACTTTGAACCGTTTTTGCTTTTAACTGTGGCTGACATTTGCTGGGTAGATTTGTCACAGACCAAGCCCCGTGCTGAGCCCTTGTTGTCCGTAGCCTCCTTGAGGACTTGCAGGAGCGTAAGAGGTGGGTGCCATTTGCAGGTGGGTAACTAAGGCAGGGAGTCGTCAAGTGTCCAGTCAAAGGTCACACAGCTCACGAGCAGTAGAAGTGTGCTTTGAGCTCAGGCTCTCCGACTCCACCCCCTCCCACCCTTAATCATGCAACTCCAGTGGTTTCTGTGGATGATTTATTAGTTCTGCTTCTTGATTTACCACGGCAGACAGTAGCTATTGACATCTTAGGATGATTGATGGGACTTCCTCTCACTGAGCCCCCGCTTCTGCCCACAGTTTTTGATGGTTACGATGTTGAGCCCTCCTGTGGGGACCCTTGGGGCTGTGAACAGTGCGTTTAAGCCTCTGTCCCTTGTTCCTACTCTCCAAGCAACTGTCATTTGTTTATGTGAGATCACCTGTGAGCTGAAAGATGGACAAACTGTCTTTGAATTTCTAGTTATCTATCCCGACCTGCCATAGTGTCCACTTCTGTGTCAGACACATGCCTGGTGCTAGAGAAATTATCTGTGTGCTAGGACAAACGCAGAGGAGTGTAGCATCAGGAAACGCTCAGACAGGAGGCAGGCATGGCAAGAGCAGTCTGCCACAGCAGAGGTGCAGAGCCCTCTGAGGAGGAAAGAAGGCGCCAGGAAATGGAGACTCGAGGAAGCTCCCTTCAGATCAACTGTCTGGAAGTGCTTTGCCTTGGAGCTATGACAGCCAAGTGCCCAGAATGACCTTGAGGTAACCGCCTGGGCTCCAGCTCTGGCAACAGCACCAGCACCTGACCGGATTCAGCCAACCACTTCTCCACAGCCCTTCAAGGACCTGACTGCACACGGGCTCTGTCCAGCAGTGTCTCCCAGGAGGCAATGGGATTGCTCTGCTGGTTCCACAGGCTGGAAAACCTGCACACATTCCTGTGAAGGACCCGGCTTTAGAGTCTGTGCATACTGCCTCTGCCTGCCACCCTGGTCCACCATCTCTGGACTAGCTGTCACCGCACTGGGTATTTTTTATGCATATCTATTTTAAACTCTGTGTGTGTGTGGTTTTATGTGTGTGGTGTGTGTGGTGTATGTGTGTTGTGTGCATGTGTGTGTGTAGTATGTGTGTGCGTGTGTATGTGGTATGTGTGGTGTGCGTGCGTGTGTATGCATGTGTGTGCATGTGCATGTGGTATGGTGTGTGTATGTGTGTGTGTGTGTGTGCATGTGTGTGTGTTGGGGGTATGTGCAGGTGCATGTGGGAGGTAGATGTGGACACCAGAGTTCAATCATGTGGTGTATTGTTCCTTTGGAACCATCAGGTTGATGTTTGCAATAAGGTCTCTCTCTCTCACTGGGATTTCTTCTTGCATGGCTTTCTCCATCTCCCCAGTACTAGGATTATAAGCATGTGCTACAAGACCTGGATTTTTTTTTATTTTTCTTTTTTAAAATAGGTATTCTGAGGCTCTAACGTAAGTCCTCGTGTTTATGCATCAGGTACTTTACCAGCCGAGCCATCTCCCCAGAACCCCTGTGGGTCATTCCTTGTTCATCCTTTGCATCTTAGGTCAGGTGACATAGGGCAGACCTTCTGTATCCTCAAGACAAATCAAATTCCCTTATCTACTAAATATCTGTCCCTTTATTGCACTTACCACAGCAGTACCCTTGCATGCGCTGGAGTAATTGCTTGTGTAAAGAGGGTGGGTCTGGTTTTTGAGACTAGAACTCCCATGGGGTGGACATCATCTCTGAAGTTGCTCACTACAGCCTGCCCCACACCCAGCACAGCATCCACCAGAGTGCGTGAAGGAGAGAGTGAAGCCATTAATGAATGGATTGACTGCCTGAGACCCAGCCTGTACACACTCCAGAACTTTCTCACACCCAGAGAAGCGGTGGTAAACCAGTCCATCCCCTGCCTTTCCTGTTCAGTGCCACAACCTGTCCTCTGAGAGTGTTTAAATGAATATAGTTTCTGTGTTGTTATTTTGGGGCATAAGCTGGCCAGGCGGCCGCGAGCCGGGTGGTAGGAACGCAGCCCACCGCTCCTTCTACATCACCCTGTTCTCACCTCTCAACACATTCTTACCACCTTACCCCCATCCTCAGCTGTCAGTGCTGCCGATTCCTGCGTTTTCATGTGGGTTCTGGGGATGAAACTCAGGTCTTCACGCTTGTACGGCATGCACTCTACTGACTGTGGCATCTCCCCAGCCCACATCACCATATATTTTTTTTTTAAATCCAGAGATAGAGGGCTAGGGGACAGTGAGGCAAATGTGACTTAGCGCACCCCCCCCCACACACACACACACAATTCTTGTTTACTTGGAGCAATAGTTCAGGACTTAATTTCCATTTCCCTGGCTCCTGGACTGTGAAAGGTTCCGCTTATTACCTCACTGGGGCTTGATGGCCTAGCTGAGGGCTGACACGGGTGACCCAAGGATCTGCCACATCCTGACCCTCTCCCATCATGAACCCCAGGTGCAGCTGCTGGTGTAGATGCATGCAGGGGTGCAGGATAGTGAGGCAGGATCAAAGCTAGAGCAGGCAGGCAAGAAGAATTCATGAAATGACTGTTCATCTCTCAGGGACCACAGTATGGCTGTCTGCAGGGAAGTGAACACGGCTGCCATGCGTGCACCCTGACAGCCATGCTGGTACACCATAGCTCTTCAAGGTGGGGAGCAGAGTGGAGGATGAAGAGAGAAGATGGGATGCTAAAAGCCAGGGCTGCCAATCCACGCTGAACTGTCGGCTTCTATGGAAAAGATCCTGCTAACAGTAAATTTGAACATCACCCTTGTAGGTCATAAAGAAAGGATGTTTGCTAAGATAGGGAAACACTACATGGATCATGTTCCAGATGCTGCCTTAATTTATAACTTCTGTCCATTCAAGCACAGATGTGTGGGCCTCAGTTTCCACTGCTGCTCAGGCCCTGCAGAGTTTTGGGCGAGCATCACTATTGGAGTGAGCTAAGGAACAAGACTCTGTGAGAAATGTTGGTCTCTCACTACTCTTCCGGGACAGAACCGTCTTTGAAAGTGGCACACAGCATACCAGGGTGGGTGTCCTCAGGAGCACTCCAAGGGAGGGGCTTTCTCCGTCCAGAAGGTGATAGCTGATTTCTGTCAAATGACAGCAACTTGCTTCGGCTCATTTAGCCTAAGAGGCCTGGACCTTATGAAGCTGAGATCTGGGGCTTCCAGCAAGTTTTCCAACAGTGGTTTGAAAGTAGAGTCAGTTTGTCCTCAACACTGCCACTTCCCCACATGGGTGCCCTTGGGTAAGTCACATCAGCCCTCTGGACCTCAATGTCCTTATCAAATAGAGGCTCACAAAGAAAGCTTGTGTCAGGGAGCTCATTATTTATTTATTTACAGTTTAATTTATTATTAGTGTACGTAAGACGTGTGTGGGAGTATGCGTGCCAAGGGGTTGAAGTCAGAGGCTAACTCTGTGGAGTTGGTTCTCCCCTTCCACCCTTATGTGGGTTCCTGGGAGGAGCCCCAGGTTGTCGGACTTGGACAGCAAGCACCTTTCCTGGCTGAAACATCTTGCTGGCCCGTGCCTGAGTCCTTGTAGCTGTGACAGCAGGAACAGGTGTTAAGAAAGTGACAGCTGCCGGGCGGTGGTGGCGCACGCCTTTAATCCCAGCACTTGGGAGGCAGAGACAGGTGGATCTCTGTGAGTTCGAGACCAGCCTGGTCTACAAGAGCTAGTTCCAGGACAGGCTCCAAAACCACAGAGAAACCCTGTCTCGAAAAACCAAAAAAAAAAAAAAAAAAGAAAGTGACAGCTTCCACTCCAGCAGCTGCATGCTCGGCAGGATTTTTGACAAGTGGCGGCAGGCATCGAGGTACCGCAGGGGTGGCGTTTTCCCTCTGGGCCTCTGGTCTTCCCTTTGCATATTCTTTCTTGTAAAATTCCTGCCCTTGGGCACCCTTCTAGCTGTTTGTGCAACTCTGGTCTAACAGCTCAAGCAGCCTGTGCTTGTGAACATGTGCCTGGGGCCCTGACCAGTTCTGATTCACTGTCTTAGGGATGGGCCCAGGGACCTGCATTCTTATTATACTCTGGTTTTTGTGTGTGGGTATGTCATGGCATGCCTGTGGAGATCATGGGACAACTTAAAGATGTCAGTTTCTCCTGTCATGCAGGTCCCAAGGAGTAAGCGCACGTCATGAACTTTCATAGCGAGTGCCTTTGACCTGCTGAGCCACCTCGATGGCCCTTGAATCTGCATTTTCATGAGCTCCTCAGTTGACAGACAACACAAGAGATGAGTCTTGGAGAAACCCCTGCAGCTGAGAACTCAGGCTGGTAAACAGAACCAAGGCCAGCTGCTGAGAGCTGAATTCCTAGTCAATCTAAAGTGTTTTCCAAAAAACCGGAGCTGACTGAGAATGTAAGAAGCCAGCTGGGTGCAGCTATAACCCAGGAACTCAGAAATCTGACAGGAAGGATGGGAACAAAGAAGGAGGAGCAGGAGGAGGAAGAAAAGAGGAGGAGGGACCAAGAGGGCCGGGGGAGTGGATGGCTCAGTGAATAGAGTACTTGCTAAGCAAGCATGAAGACTTGAGTTCAGATCCTCAGAACCCACATTAAAGCTAGAAACAGTAGCCTCTGTCTGTGACCCCAGTACTTCTGTGGGGAGACAGAAGGTGGGGCTGGAAGCCCTGACTATTTACATGGTGTGTGAAACAGCAAATAAAGAAATTCTATCTCAAAAAAGGTGGAAGACAAGGACACTAGAAGTTGTCTTTGAACTTCACATGTCCTCCGTGGCATTCACACACGTGCGTGCACACACACACACACAGAGGTTAAAAACAAAAGCAATGGCCCACCATACATGTGTAAGCAGCCATACATGTGTAAGCAGATGTTGGTTCCATACTAAGCAGAGACAGGAGATAAAAACTTGGACGTTAGCCCGGAGTTCACTGGAAGTCTTCTTTTTCACAGCCCTTATTTCTCAGGACCATGCTGTTAGTTCTCCCTGCCCTTTAGTGCTGTCCCTTTTGGGTGGTCAGTGTCTTGGTTCAGGTTTCACATGTCTTGTGAGCCGTGATGGGAGTCAGTGTGTGAAGAAGAATTTTAGAGTATCTTCTCATCTGACTATGCCAGGAGAGCCCCCCCCCCCCCCGTCAACTTTGCCTCAGGAGAAGGGCACCCTACCTCTGCTCCTGGCTCCCTCTCTGCCCTCCCTTTACGGTGCATAACTGACGCAAGGAGCCAGAAGCTCAAGAGGGCCTTGGAGCTACCATCGGCAGTAACTGTGCCTAACGCCCCGTGTAATCACCGCCATGCGTCTCTGTCAAGAGCAGCCTTCTGCTTCAGTGAGGTCCCTGGAAACTCCTCTTCAGACCCCCTGGGCAGGAAACAAATGGGCAAGTTAGGACGGTGGCAAATCCTGCCCTCCTTCTGCTGACAGCAGGCCCGTGAAGCAAAACAGCTAGGCAGGGACAGGGGGGAGCGATCTCCGAGGGGAGTTTCTTCTGGATGTGGGAAGAAACTTCTAGGGCGGGAGCCTGTAGAGGGATCTAATCAGTGACCTGAGAGTAGGAGAGGTGAAGTGCCAGTTATTAAAGATCTGAGACAGAAACTGTGGGGCAAGGGCAGCACTTGGTTCTGTTTCCCTTTCCCCAGCCTGTTCTATTCCCTATTCATAGTCAGTTGTGAACTGAGGTTTCTGGAAGGCAGCTACAGAACAACGACTCCTGAGAACGTCCTGAGGGTGGAGTGTGGGGATGCTGTGCATCCAGAGCCAAAAGCATCCGGAGCTGTCACTAGTGCACTTGGTAGCCGTTTGCCACCATCGTCTGTATCTGATCTAAGACGCGTGGGACTTTCAGGAAAGACTTTGGGAATGTATTTACTCAGCCGACCATCATCTTCCCCAAAGCCCAGCGTGTCGTCTGAGACCTGCAGTCGGACTTTCTCACTTGTCGGTAACCTGGCAAATGCCTTGATTCGCGACTGTATTTTGTTTGGTAACTTCACAGGTTCACGTCACCACATCCATGGTGGGACATTCAAGGCAGCCTGAGTCCATGTTCACTCACACTTGGCTTGGAATAAAATCTCTCTCATTCCCTTTGGAGAGAGAAATGTGTTTCATAGGGACACAGCAAAGAGCATCTTCTCTGGCTCCCAGGCTTGTGCATTGTTGTCTCAACTTGTCTAGGTGTCTTCTTGCCCAAGTTCTAAGCCAGTAAGTCTGGGAATAGTGGTGCACACCTTTAATTCTAGTATTCAGGAGGTGGAAGCAGGCAGATATCAGTAAGTTTGAGGCTAGCCTGGTCTACACAGTGAATTCCAGGCCAGCTTGAGATCCATAGTGAGACCCTACTTGAGGGGGGGAAAGTGGGTAGAGTGTGTCTCATGCCACCATTATTTTTGGAGTCCTAAATCTTTTGAGCCATGAGTATTTTACTCCAGAGACTGCCCCTCTCCCCATCTAAGAACACTGTATCAGTGTCTCTGGGCACCTGCCATCTCTGCACCTGTGATAACAATTTTTAAGAACAGTAGCCTGGAGCCAGATAAGCATGAGTCTTTAATCCCAGCACTCAGGAAGCAGAGGCAGGTGGATTTCTGGGAACTGGAGACCAGTCTGCAAAGCGACTTTCAGAACGGTCAGAGTCTCATAGTGAAGCCTTATCTTGAATGGCCCCCAACAAAAGGGATAAAACAAAAGAAAAACAAACAAACGAACAACAACAACAACAAAACCAGTAGCCTAGACAGGGGAAATAGCTCAGTTGTTAAAGAACAATGTTCAAAGCAGAACAAATGTACAAAAATCTGAACATGGTATCACACTCAGCAATCCTGCACTGGGGAGAGAGAGAGACAGGCAACTCTCTGGAGCTCCTCCCTTCCCCTTTCCCATTCTCTCTTTCTCTTCCCATCCTTTCTCTTCCCCTCCCCTCTCTTCCCCATCTCTTCTCTTTCTAGACAGCCTGGCCTAATTGGTGAGCTCCAGGTTTAGAGAGAAACCCTATTTCAGAAACTAAGGTGGAGAGCAATTGAAGAAGACAAGTGACATCTACCTCTGGCTGCCACATGTATGTCGATGTGCACGGGTGTACACCCCACCACACACAAAACAGAAGCCACTTACTAAGAGTTATGGCTTAGAACAGCCCAAGTATGCACTCAAATGCTCATAAAGATTCGGTTCTGTCTTTTGAGTGGCATAAGTGAAGCACTGGGTGAGCAAGAGACTCGTAAGGCCTCTTAACATCTGTAACTGGGTCTCCAGGAACCATATCACAAGAGACATCAGCTCTGACCACACCTGCAGGGTGGCTCTGGGTGCTGGCTCCTCCCAGGCATTGAACCTTTTTGTAACTGTATTGTGGTTCTTCCATTCTGCGAAATGGAGGTCACAAGGCAATCCCAGCTCTATCTGTGAATACTAACACACACACACACACACACACACACACACACACACACACACACACACCAGGTACCTGTCTTCCTCAGGAGAACACATAAGGCAAAAATCATTTGTGTGGTTAATTTAGGGCCTGGAGAGGGAGAGATCACCCTCCTCTGCCTGGATGGCCTCGGGCTAGTCCCGGGACTGCTCTAGTGGGAAAGCCAAAGTCAATCTGAAGAGTTGTGACACTGTTGAGGGGGCTGTGGGCTGCGTTCCTGCCACCCGGCTCCTGGCCGCCTGGCTAGCTTATGCCCCGAAATAACAACACACAAACTGTATTCATATAAACACTGGTTGGCCCATTTCTATTAACGTGTGTAGCACCACGAGGTGCGCTTACCAGGAGGATTCTAGCCTTCGTCCATCCTAGGTCGGAGCTTTATCGCGTCTGCCCCAGAGAGCAGCAGCATGGCGACTCAGCTCACTTCCTCTTCCTCCCAGCATTCTGTTCTGTTTACTCTGCCTACCTAATTTTCTGTCCTCTCACGGCCAAGGCAGTTTCTTTATTTAACCAATGACCTTCCTCCATCATGACACCATTGCTGTGCTGCTGGCCTGGGCGCCTGGGAAGGGCTGTAAGCCAAGGAATAAGAGCAGCTTCCAAGAGGAGGGCATGCACGGAGCAGATACCCCAGGAGCCTCCCACAGGAACGCAGCCCTATTGCCCCTTCGATGTCAGCCTGTGGAATCCAGCTAGGATCTCTTCTGACATGTGGGCTGCTGGTTTGAATGTGAAATACCCCCATGATAAGTGCATATGTCCCCAGCTGGAGGTGCTGTTCTAGAAGGCTGTGGAACCTTTAGGGAAGGAGGATGGCGGAGGAGAGTCTGGGGCAGAGACGTTGCAGGTTATAGTTAGGTTGTGTTTCTAGCACGAGTCTCTAGGTTGGACTGCGTGCCCACTCCTGCAGCCATGAGCTCTTGGTCACCATGCCTTCCTTGCCACGACGGACTTTACACCCAAACCTTGATCTGCAATAAGCCTGACCTCCCTTCAGTTTGAGGTATTTTATCACAGCAATAAAACAATATGCTGCAGTGTTGAAAGATAATAAAGCCATGTCATGTGACTCCCTAAGCCGGCACGGCTTTGTTACAGTGAGACCCTGTCTCAAAAATAAATCACCATAACTATAATGATTAAAGAAAAAAGAGGTCATGAATTTGTGGGGAGGTGACACTGGAGGGACCGGAGGGGAGAATGATGTAAATACAGGACACAAATATGACGCTCCAAAATGAATTTTTAAAAAGAGAAAAAAATTAAAAATAGAAATAAATTAGAAAATAAACTCAGCTCAAATGCATTTGAATTGGAAAAAAAGCAAAAGTGAAATAAAAATAATAATGAAAAGTTGAGAACCCAAATGTAACTAAATTTATTGACTAGCGTGACTTCAAGTCTACATCCAAGGCGCTGGCTCTGGGTGCTACTGTCGGGTGCAGACATTCAGTGGGTGTCACCAGGGTTTGTTTCTGCAGCCTCTCAGCTTCCCTTTCTTCTCTCCGTGTTGGTGTGATGGTTAATCTTCACTGTCAACTTGACTGGATTTAGAATCACCATGGAAACACATCTCTGGGCATGTCTGTTTCCAGAGAGGTTTCACTGAGGAGGGAAGGCCTGTCCGGAGTCTGGGCAGCACCATTCTCTGGGCTTCCGCCCTGGACTTAATAAAACGGAGAAAGTGAACTGCGCACTAGTATTTCTCTCTCTCTCTCTCTCTCTCTCTCTCTCTCTCTCTCTCTCTCTCTCTCTCTCTCNTACTGTCTCTCTCTCTCTCTCTCTCTCTCTCTCTCTCTCTCTCTCTCTCTCTCTCTCTCTCTCTCCTTCCTGACTTCGGCTGCTATGTAAGCAACTGCCTCACACTCCTGCCACCATGCCTTCCGCACCATAATAAAGTGTACCCTCAAACTACAAGCCGCAATAACCCCTTCCTTCCCTAAATTGCTTCCCATGAGGTATTTGATCACAGCAATAAGAGAAGTAACAAATACAATCAACTTTCTTTTGGGGCAGGTTCTGTCCATCTGGCAGACCTCAGAAAACTCACGCCCAGGAGCACCAGCTTAGCCACTCCCAGGAAAAGAACATGTCTTCAATAGTTCTAGAAGATGACTTTGGATTCTAGTTGGTTTCATGTGCCCATTTCCGATTCAGTCATGGGGGAGGGGGGAGCTCTGATTGGTTAGACCTGCCTCACCGACTCACATGGATAGATCATACAGGCTCTTTAGAGCCACACAGGTTGGCAATGAAGATAGCCTTAAACTCTGGACCCTTTGGCCTCTATTTCACATGTGTGCACCACCAAGTCCTGCTCAGAACCTGATCCTGGTGGAGTTCTTTGACAAGGAGAGTAGGGAAAACAAGAACAAATGGACACGTGTAGCAGGGCATGATGGCTCATGGGTAATCCCAGGACTTGTAAGACTGAGGCAGGAGGATTGCCTGGAGTTTGAGAGTGACATCAACTACATGAAACCAAAACAGTGAGCCAGGCGTCGATGGCACATGCCTTAATCCCATCATTCGGGAGGCAGA